TGAGATTTATTTACCAGTAGGAGGTGATGGTGTGTCAGTTCTCTTTGTCATGCAATTCTGTACATGTAATGTAAACCTGCTGTCAGTTGTTTATCAATATTTTTACTGTAGCTTCATTCAGGCATTCAGTGTACTGTTGCATTGCCTGTGGCATTTTATAAACAACTGTGAACATTTTAATAAAATGTCCTTGCACATTTATTTTAAGTTCATAAACATTTTAAAGTCTAGCAAATTCTTCATATTCACCAAAAGTGATGAATATGAAAACAAACAGATTATAGGCTAAAAGGCCAGTTACAAATGATGTAGATGTGACAGCATTTTTCTTACAGAAACACAAAAAAATTGTATTTGTTGTTTTACGATTGAGTTCCATAAAGCAAGACATTCCTGCAGGGCCAGCCCAAGCCTCCATAGGCCCTAAGCGAAATGTGGTTTTGGGGCCCTCTAGATCTGCTAACAATGTGGACTGGCTGCAATTAGCAGTCCGATCATTAGATCATTCACACACCTGCTATAAACTTATTGCATCTCTGGCAGTGCTGTTTACATTATATACATGTATAATAGGATACATTTGTTGGCCAACTGATTTATTAACCAGTTGATTTTTGGGCGCCGATTTCCTTAATTTTGGGGGATCGTGATCTGCTGATACTTACATGTGAAGCCCATCTTATCCCCTAATCTTATGTTCGTCAGCAAAGGTTTAAAAATCAGTCTCTGTCCTCTTCTGCTCTGCACTGAGAGGTGTGACTGACAGACCGACCCAACAGGTCAGGTCTGCATGTTTGCAGTTAACAATGTTCACCCCACTGTTGCCAACAGTAACTTTCTTGCTATATTTAGCGACATTTCAGACAAAAAAATTCATATCAACCAAAATCAAAATTGGCATGTCAGGCTTTTTAAAGATCGGTAACAAGGGATCGGCTAGAAAACTGCAATCGGTGCAGCCTTACACACATATTCATGACATTCTTTGATTAAATAAATTTCTCTTAAGCGTTACTCCAATAGCTAAAAATTTAATTTATACCAGGTGAGTCTTTCTCCCCTGAGAATGTGGATTGGTTCTGGACTGATTCTGTGCCTTCAAATGATTTTAACAGAAGTTTCACATAACTTAGAAAAATAATGGTTGTTTAAGCCACAAAATCAGGGGTCCCCCAACTACGGCCCGCCTCCACATTTGGTCCGGCCTCCTGAACAATACCAGAGTGCATTCAGATTTTTTTTCATTTATTCTATTTTCCGGTTTATATGTGGGTTTTTCTTCAACCACCAGGGGGCTCTTTAGCAGGAAGAGCCCCCTGTAAACTGTGGGGCGCATTGCTGCCATCTCTTGGACTTTTAGGGAACTGCTTGACTTTTATGTTATTTAATCAGGTTGTTTGCTATCGGTAGAGCAGGTGAACACACGTGTCTGTTATGAACGCCGCATTTCAGGTTGAATTCTTCGAAGCGATGCCTGTAAGTAGCAGCTTATACTTCAAAACGAGACTTTATGTTAACATATGCGAAATTAATATGTTAAAGTAACATTCCCTCAATGGAATATATACTAGTCAGTCCCAGTGACCTTTTCACTCATGGGTTTTGCCCATGTGCTTTCTGGGTAAAAATCAATCGATTTCCTGCCCTGCATATCCGGGAGCTTGACCCGCTCCCCTACCACCCCCCTCCCCCCTCCCGTGAACAATCTCCGGCCCCCCACCAGAGAAGGGAAAAGTTATGTGGCCCTCACAGGAAAAAGTTTGGGGACCTCTGCACAAAATGATTATGCTCAGCAGCAAACAACATATCCCCAACTAACGCATAGAATAGCTCATCCATGTAGCAGGTATGTAGCCTGACGTAAAAACATTTTGCTAGACAATATCAAACATTGGGAAGTTTTAATTATTGTTAATTGTTAAACGTTATCAAACACGGCGTTTTGAAGATAAAAAATACCTCAGAAATATACAGAGCCAAGAAGTGGAATCAATTCATCTAAAGTTAAAAGTCAGTTTCACACAAACACAAAGACCCTAGCATAAATGTTTGGCTGTTGAACTGGACCGTTCAAAGTCGCTATCAAGCTAATTTTCTACTAGCAGCTCCACTAATATTTCTGATAAACATTACATTACCAAGCCTTTATCTTGGCTTTTTTCTATTCTTCCTCTTTCTTCTATCTCCCTGAAGGATAAGTCCTTTTTTGAGACATTGTTTTGCTAACTTTACTTCTGACCAGAGCTTTAGACTTTTGGGTGCTCTGCTCATTGCACAGCAGCTCATATTAATGGCGAAGCGTGCAGTACCTACCGTGGCCACCAGGGGCTCCCAACAGGAATTATTTCAATAAAATAATAATTTCTTCATACATTATCAAATATATATTATTAGAAAAAAACAAATCACTTCATAGTGAAATTGTGTGTTTTTGATATTATAATGACAGAAATTATTATTAAAAAAAAAAAAAAAATCAGCTCCACTGAGGGGGCTGCTTAGTGGCCCTGGGGCCCTAAGCGGCTGCTTAGTTTGCTTATGCCTTGGGCCGGCCCTGCGTTCCTGGTTAAGGAATGTAGTTAACCATAATAAAAGCAGAGTATAACCTATTATCAAGAATACTTTTCAAAGCTCACCTTTCTGTTTACCATTTTGAGAGTGCAGTCTACTGTCTCTATACGGTGATTATAAAGTAAGAAAAGTGACTAAGTAGTTTGGATTCCTGTTAAGCAAGCATTTCTTAACTTCCTCCCAACTCACAAAAGCGTTGCGAGACACAGAAAGGTTTTAGATCTTCTTCCTTTGAAACTGTGCATAAATAAGTCAAATGTTTAATTGATAAAAATGTCATATTTTTTAGCGTCTGGCGATGTAACTATACTAAACCAGTGACATTAAATAAGATTCTTAGATTCATACTTACCCTGAGCTTTGAAGAGATGTCATTCAGTTAGTTTTGGTTAAGTCAAAATTTTTATCAACTTCATCACTTTGTCATACCTTCTCCTGAAAAACCAGTCTGTCATTCTTGGTTTTATTTTTGGCTTTTTCACCTCTTTACACAACGCCTCTCGTTTTAGGGAAGATAGTCAAATGACAGGTGTTTGAGAAGAAGATATTGCATTAAGTCAAGAGTTCTCTAATTTCAGTCAAAATTGAGGTTGATACTTTGGTTGTGAAATGCCTTGCAGGATCAGTAATACAGATTAGTAAAAATACATTTAAAGATGATTTCTGAGTCTCTGTTACACTGTTTTGGACCATAAACATTGTCAGAGATGTTGTGTGCTGAGTAGAGAGAGGTTTTTTTATTTTACAGGGACAGTATTATGTATTTTCAAGGCACATTTTATTTCATAGCATAATCAAGTAACTAGGTTACCTTGAATTGTTATAAAAATGCTGTAATTATTAAACATGACTTAGAAGTAATTTGACTTCATAATATGACACCAAATTGGCCCCTGTTAAGAAGCTACTGCTATTTCCAACACTGCCTTCATATCGTTATGCAAACACAGCAATGCCGTCCTGTTATGCTGTTTATAATCATAAACTGAAAGTTTGCTGATTGCTGCTGCCACTAGTCTGGTGGAGCTGTGTGGGGAAGGGGTGCTCTGTGATATGAAAGCTCGGCAGCTTCAAGGTTACACAAAATCAAAAGGTAACCTTGGTCTCTTTATGGCTCATTAGTTATATTTAGAAAATCTGTTGAGCTGATAATTACCATTTGATTTATTGGTAAAAAGACAAAATGTCCTGTCTGATAAATACTAATTACTGACCTTTGACTTGCTAATTCTTAGATAACACAATCTGATTGACAGTCTTATCAGTGATGCAGACATGTACAGTTCCTGGATCAGGAGGTGTTGATTGAGGAAATCTTATGGAAGAACGTGACCACTGCCAAGGCAATAATAATAAAGCATTTAATAACAGCATGCTGGTTGCATTGAATAAATGTACAGTTAGCTAAAAAACCAAGATAATGCTTTAAATGTTATTTTAAGAAACATAAAATATCATTTAGGCAATTATAAAGGAGGCAAGTAGGCATTTACGTTTCTTTGGTGAATAAATGCATTTGTGGTATGACAGATAGGCAAAATTTAAATATGCAAAACAGAAAACAGTGAAAATCTATTTTACATGTTTTTTAACTTACAAGTCATTTTACCCCACTAGGTGGAAGCAAAGAGAGTGTCTGAGTGCTTTCTAATAATTCCTAACTCTCTCTCCCTGAGATGGCTTTATTCATTAACACCTAAAACAACACACACAGTTAGGTGTATGGAAGTTAGAAGTGACAGCACTTGTGGACTTTGAGCACAAATTATGAGAAAACCCAGTTGAAGTCGATGAATGAGGTAGCACACATACATTCTGAGGGAATTTACAACCATCTTGTTTGTCCTTTACTGGTTAAATATTACTAACTTCCTCCAGGTAAACAATTTTTGTCATGTCCCTCTTTCATAATGACTTAATGTAGCATCTGGTATATAAACAGCAATTGTCTGTAAACTTAAGAAAATAAAAAGGAGTTTATGTTTTCAGTCACAAAAGACAAGGAACTGCAGATAAAACGAATTATCGCCTAATGTATGTGTGCAGTATCACAATTAAAATTTGCCAAAAAATAAATTTTCTAACTTCTTGGGATAATAAAAAGAAGTCAATTTGAAGCTACATATATAAGCTGCTTTCAGTTACAGAGATGCTCTCTTTGCACCACAACAAAAAGACACCGTTCAGGCCATAACAGGAATATGTACAAATATGATAAGACGATATGGAACTCATAACAAATATGTGAGAATTTGGACATCCTAACAAGTTTGATGCGTTAATATGTTACACTATTGTTTACTGGTTCACTCCAGGTGACAAATACCAGGAAAAAGTTAACCGAAAAGGAAGGTGCATTGAGAAAAGTACACTTTGTGTCCTATGTGAGATCAGTTGGCACAATGCAGGAAGAATGATAGCACACAGGATCAGCATTAATGGTTTTGGTGTAATTTTAATCCATGCAAAATAAATTGCAGCATCCAGGACCACTTAATGTTGATGGGGTTTGGCTAACCAAAGTATATGTGAAAGAACACAGCGACACACAGGAGGAGGATGGCATTTGCATTGACAATGTTCCTCCAGAGAGGCTTCTCTGTTGTATCTGTTAGCTGCTTCTTCAGTTCTGCTTCCTCCTCTGGAGTAAGTTTTGGTGCTGTTTTGTTCTGCTCCAGTCCGCAGAAGCAGATTAGTGCTTTCTTGAAGAAATTTCGCTTTTTCCTAGATTCTGTAATAATAATAATAATAATAATAATAATAATATGTATGTGTTCTGTATACCTTCTATGTCCATCTTACTGTCATCCTCATCATGATCCTCAATCCAATCATCTGGATCAATGTCCACTCTTTCCTCTGTACTGTTCCTCAGACTCCAGCACAATCGGTACAGCTGGGAAAATAACACAACATATTGTGTGAGAAAACTGTTCAGCCCAGAGGTCAAACATACTTAAAAATACAATTGTTTATAAATGTAGCTTTGATAGATGTTTGAATATGGTTTCCAGTAACAAAAATGCGTGTTATGATCGATTAAATGCGCTGATATGTCATTGTGCCTGCTAAACACATAACGCTGAGTGGAGTGGTGTACCGCTCCAAGATGGCCGCCCTAAATCTCATCAGTGACAATAGGCGAGAGCGGTCCATGAGGCGTCTATTCTTATATTATGTCTCTGACTTGGCTTAATATTGGTCCATATACAAAGCGCACCGGATTATAAGGCGCACTGTCGGCATTTGAGGAAATTGAAGGTTTTTAGGTGTGCTTATAGTGCGGAAAATACGGTGCATAGTGCAGCCTTAAGTGAAAAAAGTCAAAGTAAGTGAAGTGCGTTTCAGCAACTGGAGATTGCTGAAATTGAAATAAACATAAATTCTTCTGCAAGAAGTGCATTTTATTTTTTGATTGGTGTAATAAAGTCAAGCTTGAAGCTCATGGAGATGCTATAAATTACAAAAAACGTCTTCAAAGAACATTGTTCTTAGCTGCTAACTTCTTCACCATCTTAAACTTCACTCAGAAACTGCATACTAAGATTTTATATTACTCAGTCTTTAACATCCCAAAGTACCTGCAACTTTAATAAGAATTTGAATATAATGTAATCATAAGCAGAAAAAATGTAAAAGAGTTTGTGCAGGAAGTTAATCGTGGATAGTCTTCCTGTGAACAATTACTGATTTGGAAAGTTACATATTAAGCTACTCTTATCACAAAACTGTCACATACATGCTTGTCATCGATTGGCTTGCTCATTAGGGAGATTCCAAGTATGAGGATGCAAGAGACAGTGAACAGGATAATCGAAAAGTAGAGGTAGTGCACTCCACAGATGATGGTAGGACAGTTACTTGGGCTGACACAGCTCCCTGTTCCGTAGATAAACTCTGAAATCATCCTGGATAATCCGACTAACAAACCAATTATGAGTCCGAAAAAGGCACCCTGTAAAAAGAAGAAAGAACGAAAGAAGGAAATAAAGAAGGATGAAAACACTCTATTAAAACAATAATCCACCTACTGACATCTAGCTTAAATCAATACAACTCTGTTATCTACAATGGCTGCAGCAATAAATTTGGCTTGACACAAAAGCTAAAACAGGTAAGACATCTTACTTTGTAAAATGATGACAAAAATTCTCCTTCAACATAACCCTCCCAAATAATGTAACATCATCTTTGGTTGATGTGACAGAAACTAAAAATACCTTTTCTTTACAACAAAACAGAGATGTGTTCTTATAAATTAGAGTATCCACAAAGTATATTTGGGTTATGTTTCATCAGATAATAGTCATTTGTGGATCCACAGTCTTAAAACTGAGTAAATAACAAGCCCATAGGACCTATAGTTTGTAACCTGATGATCACTTTGGAAAGAAAACTACCATATTTTTTTATTCTTCTATATGAAAAGGCTAAAAAGAGTGATTCATTGGTTTTCTCTCTTAAGGACGAGAACCACTACCCAGGTCTGTTGCACCACAACTACGATCCTTCTTACAACATTGAACCGGCATTTCAACCTTTGCAGGTCCATGATGTGCAGAGCCTTTCCAATAAGAAACTTTTAACAACCTCAGTTCTTCTCCAAGTCTTAAGAGGCTGCCTTCTTTGTGCAGATGACTAAACTTTTTCTATGCCGTGGTAATATCCTCTGTTCAGGTCTGTCTGCCCCCAAACCAGAGAGCCTCTGATGGTCCCTGTATTTGCTATGTATGCTACTAAAGACACATTTATGTTGCAAATATAAGAGCAACTGTACACTAAAAGGAAACTCACAGTTTCATTAACTCGTTTACAGAATATGCCGAGCATGAAGACAGCGGCCACAGGTGGAGTGAGATAGCTGGTGATTGACTGGATGTAGTCAAAGAGCTGACCACTCTGGGCTGACTGCACCACAGGGATCCAGGCTATGCTTATTCCAATAAGGACCACAATAAACACCCTGGAAGGAAGAATAAACAAAGAGTCATGGTTAGAGTCAAGCATGCAAACAGTAATTATATTAAAATCAAGTCACAACAGTTTTACCTGCCA